TAGAATGTATCAGTTGAAATATATGTATTCAGGACTTTAAAATATTGATGTTAATACATAGATTTATGAGTGGATAGGTGTAAATTGTCAATACAGCATGGACATTTTCAAATTCAGCTTGGTATAAGCGACTGTAATTCCAACATAATAGCTTGTTGACACTCTTATTCCTCATTACTACTCTACTCTTTGACTTATTTATACCCGCTCTTAGAGGGTATATAAATCCAGTGGGTTAAGCGAAACAGGAACAAGGCACTCTTATTCTACAGTAAGGGTGTCATCTCATGGAGTTAATCAGAAACAGTTAACTTCATATTTAGACAAGCCCTTACACCACGTATACATTTGTCCCTTAATGGCACTCTCTAAAAAAACTTATTTTGTCAATTTTAGGCTAATATGGTCTCTTTTGGGACTGATGCTTCGGTGAAGCATCAGTGACTAGGATGCCATCCTGGTTCTTTTTATGCATCTGTGTTATTTAATGACTGTTTTGAACACACATTGTGCAAAGAAAAGTTGTCTAAATTAATAGAAAATGGTTGAACATATGTTATTTTCACATCATGAAACTACCACTCATGCAATTTAAACATTCTTTGGAATGGATAAACCAAACTGATGCTCATGGCATATTATAAGAAGAAAAAAAGAAGATCGGCACTGCCATACGTCTTTCTTGTCATTCGAAACCTCAGGCAGTAAGGTATTTTTCATGTGCAACTTTTCTAAAAGACATACAGTTTGTCCTTCAGTACAAACCAATGAAGAGTCACATTAGCTGCGTGTGGTTAGCTTGAATTCTTCGAGTGATGATCCCCATGTGTATTCCACTTGTGGGTACACATGCACACCCCATGTGCCTGAGTCTGGAATTTTCTGCAAGCAGTGTCCATTGGCCTACACATATACTTTACCTCATGCACTGACCCAAAGGCCTAAAAGAGTGGTATGGAACAATGCCCTTCCAGTTCCTTCTTACCACCGCATAGTCTGAGTAGGAATCTTTGATGTCCTCAGCTCCTTTCTCCTGTGTTATTTCTGTAAATATATTGTAAATTGTTTCACTATTTTTCTAAGATAGTGTTATTAGATAGTTATTTCCCCCTTTCACCACCACCCTCAGGGTTGTCCCCACTGTGAAGGCTGGGATTATGCCCAGAGTTCCAGGGTTCAAAAACTCTGTTTCTTGCCCTTGCTCCTTTTCTGTGAGTGCGGAAAATCAACACGGCCTCTAGTGCCTGGGTGAGGCCCTCATCTCCGCCAAATGCAACATCTGCCACTCCTTTCCCCCGAGAACTCATGGGGGTCTGGAATTGAGGTTTAGGAAACATGATGGAGAAGGCAATGAGACCTTTTTGTTCGAGCTAAGGTACTTTATAAAGGGGGTCAGGGTGGGGTGTTTTTTTTTCACACCCCAGAGCGACAAATTTTTTATTGACAAAAGTGCTAGCAAAAGCCTTGACAAAAGCCTCGGTCCGCACCAGAGGTCACACCAGTATAGCTAGGTGGTAAAAAGAATCACATCCCTCTCCGAAATAGATACACCATTAATACTCAAGTGTAGACCGTGTCCTAGGGTTAGCATCTGGCCCTCAGAATGCTTAATAGACTAAATAATTACGGCAATTTTTTCTGTAATTGGGGGCAAAGCAGTTTCCTGTTCCTGAGATGCAGGAGTTAATGAGAGGCAGCTGTGTCTTGTGTGTTTCTTGGTATCTGTAGTCCATGAAGGAATCTCTCAACATTTATTTAATAAAATATTGATCCTGCAGAGAAAGCCTTAAATTAAAGGGATTGCCCACTGTCAACTTTATCATTCACATAGCATCCCAAGAAGACAGCCATGGAATTATTGTGTCCCACACTCATTGATCTTGCACCCTTTTTTCCCCTGCTGCAGGGAAACATAATCATTTGTCTTTTAATGTATTACTCTCCAAAACCCATTGACAGCAAAGAAGTGTTCTTTGAAGTAAACAAAAATGGGATCTTTATTAACGTATTTGTTGCCTGCAAAGGATTTTGGCCAAGATTTAAAAAAACGGGGGCTTAAAGTTAGGGGCCTAAGTCCTTACTTAAGCACTGAAACAAATAGCCTGATTTTTCAAAAGTGCTAAGCACCCAGCAGCTCCCACAGAAGTTGGACTTGTAGCTCTAGAAATATTGAAACATCGGAGAAGTTAATGAGGAACCAGTGCATCAAAGTGAGGTTGATGAGTTATGTCTTCAACTCAAGTAAAATGTTGACCTATAGAGAAAAGTAGGAACAACGTTTAAAGGATCACAGAAGTCTGTTGGAGCTGTTGGGTGCACAGCCCTTCTTGAAAATCAAGTCACTTATTTAAACATTTAAAACTGGATTTAGGCCTCGAACTTTAGGCCACTGCTTTTGTTAATAATATCTTGACCTTTGTGTGTCCTTTCCATTTATTAAGAAGAGCAGGCATCCCATTTTACAGCCATATTTTGCATGTTAGATAATTTGTCTTTTGTTGTATACTTGAGAGTTCACAGGAATGAAGATTCTTGAGGAAAACGCCTAATATTATGTCTCATAGTTCTGCTGCTTCCTAGTTTTTTCTTTAACCTTGTTGTTCATTTTTTGTTTGTTTTTTTGTTTTTGTTTTTAAATTCTTTACCATAGTTGGTAAAAGCATTTTGGCAACTAGTTTCTGGGTTTTAATTTTCTCTTGATACTTTTTAGCAGTAACTGGACATATGATTTAAGGTGAAAACGTCATTTATTGGGCAGATAAAAGGATTCTTGTAACAGTAGCTTGTAATTATCTTAACAATTATTTTTACACAGTTTCTCAGCATTTTTAAAGAAGTGGATTGTGTGACTTTCCTGATGTATTATTATCAATGAGAAAAAGGTTCATGAATGAATTTTCTTAACATGACATTGTGTAATATACATGAAAATGAATAGCATGCTCTGTTTACTGTTTATATTTCAAACAACTTCTCTTACTAAGAAAAAGATTCCAGATGTCTCTAGCCAGAGGGAAGTATACAGTATGTAGCCTAATAAAATAGCATATTTGAGAGAGGGGGTGGTAAGTGATGTATATAGGCAAATGGTCTGAATTTAAACACTAGTCGGCACCAGGGCTTTATGTTAGATGAGTGAATTTCACGTGTGAAATATTAACTTTGAACATTATAAAAACATTTCCTTATGGCCAGGAGAAGCTCAGGAAGTCTTGTCTTTCTGAGTCATCTTTAAAACTTTTCCTTTTTCATTTAATTTTTATTAGATTTTTTTAAATGAAATAAACATAAAAGTATTAAACATAAACCATAAAAAGTTAAATGCAAAGCAGAAATATAACAATGTGAATATAAAAACCAGACACTTTTCTTCAAACATATAATGAAAAAAAATCTCCCTCTCTGGCCTCATTTTCCTGAGTCTCTCTACGCAGTGTTTCTCATTCAGAATACATTTCCCCCCAGTAACAGTTTCAGACTTAACTCTCTTTATGGGCTCCCTCTTAGGTGATGCCTACGCTTATGGCAGGAAGTAGAGTACATATTTCACACCCTCCCAGCACAGGTGTACATAGCAGTGTAGATGGTGAGGCACTGATCTGGCACTGCCAGAGCCTTTCCTCGCCACAATAAAAGGCTCTGGCAGCTTTTCCGGAGCCTTTCGCTGCCATGTGTAACTACACACCACAGTGTGGATGCAACCTTATTTTCACTGTGGCATGTAGTTACCCATACCCTAGACACCGCCACCAGAGTAGGCAAGGCCTGTATTGCCTTGAAACCCAGGCTCCTCACCCACATTCCATTTATGTGTGGCTGGATAGGTAAGCATTTTCGGGCACTCCTAGTACCTGATCCAAAGCCTGTTGAAGCAAACAGGAGTCTCCATAAATTTTGGATCAGACCCCCCTAGATACTTCTGTGGTGATTTTTGATTCAGTGGCATCAATACTCCAATAAACTCTGCTAGTGTTGCTGAAAAGATATGGAAGCTGCTTATCCAGAACCCTTCAGAACCTTGTAAAATGTTCAGTTTTGCGGATCTACTTAAAACCTACTATGGCTGCAAATGTACTCAAGCTTGTCCTCCCAACTTACCCTTACTGTCAGGCAAAAGATTTAAGAAATGTTCTCAAGATGATTCAGTGGCATTTCCCCTCTTTTTCTGAGAGAAATTTGAGGTATAGCCCAGAGTATAGCACAAAGCGCTTTTATGAAGTGAGAGACGTAGAAAATTGCTTGCTTTGTGCTCAGAGGTGATGAGTGGATAACAGCTCTTCCGAGATTCTCAGGACATTTGAGAAAGGAAAAAAATTAAGGTAACCATCAAGAACATCAGCTAGAGTTCAAGGAAATAGAGGTCACAGAAGTTGTGTGACGCAAGATATTGCTCCTGCTTCCACTGAAGTCAATTCTAAGGCTCCCATTGGCTTCAGTAGAAGCAAGTGCAGGCCCAAAATAGTTAAAATTAGTGAAAGAAATACTTTATTAACAAATTAAAACATTACCTGTGTTCTTACATGTCTTTTTTTCCCCTTCTTCACTACTCTGCCTCATTGCCCATGAGGACCCCAACTAGTAGAGTTAAGGGCTTGACACAAAAGGAACTCTTCATACAGCATCTTCAAATGCCAGATGTTTATCCCATGGTGACTGCAAGTTTATATGTGTTGGGATATTGTATTTCTTTCCCTATATCTTTTTCCTGCTCCCAAGGAAGCATGCGTGTCACAGATCTGTCCAATTATCAAGTACTTCTGAAGCAGAGAGAAGCCAGGCAATGCCAGTTCTCTGGAACTTCAAAGAGCTCAAAGTTTCCATCTTCAACGTTTTGTTTATTCATCAGAAGCAAATTAGATCAATGTAAAGATCAGCTGCAGCATCAATATAAGAGCTGCCCTACATACATGCTATCTACTGTCCAAGAGAAATAATGTATCTTCTCTGAGGCTGACATTGAAATGACATTGTAATCTCCGCCATCTGTCTTCCTTCTCTAGATGTTAATGAATGTGCAGTAGTAAATGGAGGCTGCCAGCAGAGCTGTGTTAACACTCCAGACTCCTTCTATTGCATATGCGATATGGGATACAGACTCCATGCTGATGGACGCACCTGCCTAGGTAAGTAAATATTACACCTAGCTTGAGGCTTATTTCAGGGAAAAGAGAGTTACAAGTGTGGGAAAACAGGGTGTGTTATTTTCTATAGTAAAATTGGAAAAAAAAATACAAACAATTACAGACTTTTCCAACATTGAGTTCTGTTCTCTAACCTAACCAATGATGGATATTTTGCTGTAAGTAATATCCGCACGATAAGCAGAGATACCACCTCAGGCTCTGACCCTGTGAGATTTCACAAATTGTGTCATGAAAGCTGAGGGAGAGAAGTAGAGCATGTCAAGCAAGAGGGTGTCATTAGCCATGTTGAAAGCCACAAAGAGGTCAGGAGGATGATGTGGAAGTAGAAGTTCTAAGATACGGACAAGAGGTCATTAATGACTGGTGAAAGCAGGTCTAATGAAGTAGAGTGGGCAGAGAAGTTGGAGGAGATCAAGGCTTGACTTGGAGGAGAGGAACTCAAGGCAACAGTTGTAAACTGCCCACAAGATGAGTTTGAAGGGAGAGAGGGTGGTAGCTGGAGAAACAGCTGGTGTTGAAGGTTGTTTTTTTGAGTAAGGTGGCGGATCCTTTCCATGGGGTAAGAATTATTTAGATACTGCCTCAAAGGTCCATTTTGACTTATGGTGAGTGCATAAATCACCAGCCTTCCCCCTGCACCCACTCCCTCTTCCTTAACTTCTCCTTTGTTATGAATTTTTATGTTAAAAATAGGTCAGCATTTAAATATTTCTCAAGGTACCAGGTTCTGTATGTTTGTTTCGGTTTTGTTTAAAATCTTATCCACAGAACATATTGGGATAAATGCATGATGCACACAGAACTCTTAATCATGGCCACATGCTGCAGTATTTATTTTGTGCTGAACCTTTAACTCACGGAGTAGAGGTCTGTGCTTCTGGAGCTAAGTGCATTCCGTGATGTCGTTTAGTTGGTTGATAGTGCTGTACACCTTTGATCGAGTATGGATAGTTCTTTATTCCCACTGTAGCCATAGCTCCCTCAAACTCCTCAATCTGTTCCTCACTCAGAGTGTAGCTGCCTCACTCTCTAAATACCCTTGAGGGAATTCTGCACCAAAAAATTTAAAATTCTATGCACAGTATTTTAAAATTCTACAAAATTCTGTATATTTTATTTGTCAAAATAACACAATATAATTGCACCAGTTTCAATTATTTTGGTAATTTATTTCAAAATACAGTCAGAAAGTATGTCTGTAACAATACAAACAACAACAAAAATTCTCCCAAGAGGAGAAAGTTAAAGAAAACCCTACGTTGACCCAGTTCCTGTTTCTCTATTATGCTTTTGGTGGGTGCCTCAGTCTGGGTGTGCCAGCAGGGCACATCTTGGGGGAAAACTCTTCCCCTGTGGTCTCTGACACCCACACCTCCTACTCCGCAAAGCCCAGCTGTAGGGTAGCCCCATCCCAGATATCGCACCACCTTCCTCCCAGAGCCCAGCTATGGGACATGCCCCTCCCCCCCCGCATTCCCAGAGAACCCATACCCCTACCCCCCAGGGATCCAGAGAAAGAGAAACAGCGTGATGCTGGGACCCGGTTTGTACAGAGTTTCCTGCATGCTTCCTCATTCCTTCAGGACATGCTGGGAGCCACAGCTGCCCGGCACCCTCCACCTTCCCTTCCCCCCCCTGTATTTGGGATCTAGAGAGATATGGTCTGCTGAGTCCAGCGGCCCCTAGAGTTGGACAGCAGCTCTGCAGCACCAATTCTTCAGGGAAATATGAAATTATGTGCAGAACATTAATTCTGCACAAATTCTTCATGGAGCACTGGTGCAGAATTCCCACAGGAGTGTCTAAAACTGTCCTTGAACAGCTACATTTCACTCCTAGACCAACTCCTTGATCTGCTGCAGTCCTGCTGGTGATGAAGATATAACACTCAGCTCAAGTGTGTAAGACTTTGCTTTGCTCAGCCAACAAAATCAGTGTTGTACTACTGGGTACAAGAGCCAGAGTTTTAAAAAAGAAAAGGCTACAGACAAAGCACATTGCTTTTTGTTTAACCTATTCCTAAAAACCCCAGATTATAGGTTACTTCTACTACTACTAAAGTTTATATGTGAATTTAGTGATTGTGCAAGTTGTCTCAATGGTGCCCTGATTATTACAGTTATTACTGGCAGAGTGTGGGCAGTAGCAGTGCTGTCTTCCACACACACTGTATTACTCAACTCTGACCTGGAGGGGTCATATCTTGGGAAAGGGGATGGGTGATTCTCCAAGGCCTTTGCTTCTCTGCTCAGACTGTGGTAGGGGGTTCCAGTTGTGATGACAGTTTTTACTGAATCCTGCCCACTAGGAACTGGCCTGACACTACCAAACTCTATTCATGTAGACCAGTGGTTCTCAACCAGGGACACGTGTACCCCTTGGGGTATGCAGAGATCTTCCGGGGGTACGTCAACTCATCTAGATCAGTGTTTATCAACCTGGGGATCATGACCCCAGGGGAGTCTCAGGATAGGTTTAAGGGGGGGATCAGAAGTGCAGGGCCGGCATTATGTGGTGGCAATTGCCCAGGGCCCCATGCCACAGGGGTCTCCCACGAAGCTGAGTTATATGCTTCAGCCTCAGGCAGCAGGGCTCGGGCTTCAGACTCCTGAAAGGGACAGAGTAGTCGAGACAGATTGAAAACCACTGACTTACACCACCAAACAGTACCAGATAGCAAGTTTTGGTCACAAGAATGAAGTCTTTATTTATTTATAATCATGTTTATTATGGTAGTGCCTATTAGGTAGTACAATGACACTTAGACCTCAGGTTTCAGAATAGCAGCCGTGTTAGTCTGTATTCGCAAAAAGAAAAGGAGTACTAGTGGCACCTTAGAGACTAACCAATTTATTTGAGCATAAGCTTTTGTGAGCTACAGCTCACTTCATCGGATCCGATGAAGTGAGCTGTAGCTCACGAAAGTTTATGTTCAGATAAATTGGTTAGTCTCTAAGGTGACACTATAGTACTCCTTTCCTTAGACGTCAGTGGGTCAGGAGCCAAATTAGCGATCATTGTTACCCAAAAGAGCCACAATAGTGTGAATTCATTGTTTCATTTACTATTTATTAGTCTCACAGCAAAAGGACTGACCAATTGGGTAGTAATGTAGTAAAAGCGTCCTGATTGTTTAATAAATTAGGTTGGTTAATAATTAAATCACACAGTGTTTTAATATCATGTGCTGCAAAGAGCCACGGGAGACACATTAAAGAAGGGAAGGGGCTGGAAGAGACTGGAAATCAAGAGGGAGAGTGTGGAGCAAACATCCAGTCTGCAGAAGGGAGAGAATGTTCAGAGTGAAACTGCAGAAAGCAATCTGATGGCCGGAGCTGGTCAGCAGTTTTTCAACAACATGATTTTTGGCCAGAAAACACCAATTTGTGGAAACCGCAGGAATGTAAACCTGCTTAAGCTATTCCTGAAGCTGCTGTGCCAGCTTCAGTCTGTGGTGGTTTCCTCCCCACAGTATCTTTGCCAAAGGCCACATGGCTGAGGGAAGAAAGGATGCTGCTTTTTAATTTAAGAATCTTAAAATGGTGTATTATTTCTGATTGACAATTGTCATAAATATAAAGGGAAGGGTAACAACCTTTATGTATGCAGTAACATAAAATCCCTCCTGGCCAGATGTACTGAATCACATTACCTGCAAGGAGTTAAGAAGCTCAAATAACCTGGTTGGCACCCGACCACAAGGACCAATAAGGAAAGAAGATACTTTCAAATCTGGGGGGCGTGGGGAGGTTTTGTTTGTGCTCTCTTTGTTTGTTTCCTCTCTGGATGGAGAGAGACCAGGCAGGTAAAAAATCTCCTGAAAACATACCTAAAATGATCCATCTAATGTTACAAAAATTGTAAGTAAGGGCAAGGAAATGCGTTAGATTATCTTTTGTTTTAGCTTGTGAATTTTCCCTATGCTAAGACGTAATTTCATTCCTGTTTTGTAACTGGGAAGTAGAGTCAGAGAGGAATCCTCTGTGTTTTAAATCTTTTTATTTACTCTGTAAAGTTACCTTCCATCCTGATTTTACAGGTGTGATTCTCTTACTATTTTTTATCAATAAAATTCTTCTTTTAAGAACCTGATTGATTTTCAGTGTCCTAAAAACCAAGGGGTTTGGTCTGTGCTCACATTGTAACCAATTGGTTAGTATATTATTCTCAAGCCTCCCCAGGAAAGGGGGTGAAGGGTGTTGGAGGAATATTTTGGGGGAATAGGGGCTCCAAGTGTCCCTTTTCCTGATTTTTTATCTAAATCACTTGGTGGTGGCAGCAATACCATCCAAGGACAAGGAGAGGATTTTTGCCTTGGGGAAGTTTTTAACCTAAGCTGGTAGAAATAAGCTTCCCCACAATAAGGTCCCCACATCTGTACCCCAGAGTTGGGAGGGAACCCTGACAACAACTAGCACTTGAGGGACAAGGTGGGTGAAGGAATATCTTTGATTGTTCCAACTTCTGTTGGTGAAATCCCATATCCTGGGGCCAACACTGCAAACTAGCAATTAACATGTGCTTGCCTCCCAGGGTGCGCTTGCTTATTTATTTATTTATTTATTTAATGTTTTGAATGAATGGTAACAACTGTGTCCTTACTTTCTTCACAAGGATTAGGCGAAAGGCCAGATTCTGATCTCTTGCAGATTGACTTCAGCTGTGAGGCTGAGTGGGCATATAAACGAGTGCAGAATTTAGTCCTCAGGCTGGGGGGAGAGAGAGAGTCCAAATCCTCCTCTCAGTTTTACTGGCATGAATCCACTGATTATGGCACAGAGCTTCTGCTGTTTTAGATTGATGTGAACGAGAGCACAATGTGCACCCACATCTCATCTGGTGGAAGTGAATGCAATATCAAGTTTTACATTTGTGAAAGGATTACCAGATCCTGGTTTTCTTACCTTGGATGCTGTTTACTAAAAGAGATCCGTAGTTCCATGTCATGCTAAAAAAATAAAAAGATATTTCCCTTGTAT